GCTCCTAGTCTAAAGCAGGAAACGAGCAAGAAGCATGTGCTCCATGTGCTAATAAACACTGTGCAGGAAAAAATGATGCATCCTGAGAACAAAGAACAAGACAAAGTGATTTTAAAGCTGGAATGTACAAGCAGGGACTATGAGTTGGGAGTGGCTGCTCCAGACATGTGCAAATGTCCTGAGGTAGGAAGGAGAGCAGTGCCTTTGGGACATGACATGAAATAATACCAGTGCAGATAGAACTGGGGAGTGGCCAACCAGCTTCCTCTGCTGATATCTACACATCTTCTCTTAGAAATCTATCCAAACGACCCCTGGTTGGGACTGGATATGCAGAAGGGAAGAATATGAGTCCAGACAACAGAGGACCTACCCTGACTGCACCCTGGCCCAGGCAGAAGCTGCTCAGAGCTCAGTGACCTAGTAGAAGGCCACACAGCAAGCACTTCAAAAGCAGCAGCTTGGTTTTAGGATCCAGCGACCTTGGTTTCCAGCCCCAGCTCTAGTGTGGACTTCAGCTCTCCCACACGAGTTGTCTACACTAAAGGTGCTAGCTTCCCCACATTAGCTGAGCCGAACCATGCCTGCAGATAGCAGTGAGGTTTATAGTTAGAATCATTCTAGACTCAGAAGTGGGTCTGGCCAGCCCAAGGCACATGGAGCTGTGCCTTGAGAGGTCCTGGGATGGAAGCAAGAGACAAGATCAGTTGGGTCTGATGGTGCTGTCTGTCCTGTAAGATATAGTTCAGTGAAGGGCTGGCAAGCTCCGAGCTGACATGTATGCAGTTACCCAGCACAGGGCCCCTCCAGCTCCCTCAGTGTGCGGTGCCCTTAGCCCAGAGTCCAACTGGCCACAGTCCAGTAGGCCCACGGGAAAAGAGGGAAATAGACAAGCAGCCCCAAAGGCTGCTCTCCTAAGAGCAATTTGCAGCTTTAAAAGCATCCCTGCTCCCTCCTGTCTACTTGTGCCACCATGCACCAAGGAGTGAAAGGTGGAGTGATGGATGTTGGGGGCTTCCTCCTCTAAAAGCCTTGCCCTGACCCTGGGGCAGCAGGTTGGGTCTGATCTGGAGCTAGTGGAGCTGCTAGTGACTGGGTAGGATAGACCCTGGCCACTGCCACTACCCGTCTTCCTGCCCTTTTGCCTGCAAAGTGCTGTGAAGGGACTGGAATTGCCATGATACTTGCACTTTCCATGGAATAGAGGCAATACTGGGTTCTCCTGGACCCCCAAACCCTTGACTGGATATCCTGCAGAGACCCAGCCAACCTCTGCCTGCTTCTCACCTGCTCTGCTCACCCCCAGGAAAAAACTTCTCCACACTTCAGACTGTGAACAGGCTCTCCAGAGAAATATGCCTGCAAACGCTCCTTTATCCTGACATCTGCACTCTCGGGGGCAAAGCCACTCTCTCCTGCCAGCCTTTACATAATAGCATGCAATTTATTTTTATTCTGTGCCCTTCCCACAAAACTTTCACAGCTGCGTTGGTGATTCCTGCTGGAGTCAGGTGTTGGCTGAGATGGTGGAGGGGGAGTGGAGGGTTGACGTGGTTAAGTGGACATAGCATGTCCTGTGGACGTGACTGGCGACAGTCAGTAAGCCTGGGCTTGCTCCACCCCACAGGCCCAAGAGCAGAAGGCATTGCTCCGACTGGGCTCAGCTGCCCTTGACCTCAGTGACCATCCCGAAGCCTCTGCCCACCCTCCTCACCTGGGCTCAGAAGTCATGTCCTCTCTCCTTTGACACCCATGTGCCCACCATCCTCCCTTTTCTCTCCCTCATGCCTCACCAAGACAATGAGAGCCCTCTGCTAGGCCTGTGTCACAGCTGTGTAAAGGGCTGGGGAGGTGTTAGGAGTAAGAGTACAGCACGTGGGAGGTAAGGTGTTTGGGCCCTAGAGTTTATGGGCAGTTTACCCCAGCCAGGGAGGCCCTGGAGCTCTCAGCAATCCTAACAGGGCCCTTTCCGCTCCACTAGCTCTGCCTACTCTGGTCATCACCAGCAGGTCAGGCCTGACAATGGCTGCTGGGTTTTGATGAGGCAGCTGTCCCCTTGGGCCTAAAGGTGGGTGCAAGCCAGGTCCACAGGGGTTTTAACCTCTGGGGCTCTGATCTCTGGGCCCCAGAGACACATCTGAATACCACTTACATGGTATTCCCTCTTTTCCCATGGACCCACTGGGCTGTGGCCAGTTGGACTCTGGGCTAAGGGCACCGCACACTGAGGGAGCTGGAGGGGCCCTGTGCTGGGTAACTGCATACACGTCAGCTCAGAGCTTGCCAGCCCTTCACTGAGCTATATCTTACAGGACAGACAGCACCATCAGACCCAACTGAGCTTGTCTCTTGGTGGCAGGTGAGCTCTGGCGGCCAACACATCTCACCACTCCCCCTGCTCACCACCTCGCTTGCCTGGGATCCTCACACTGACCAGCACAGGTCTGCCCCCTCCCTCGCCCCCGGAAACCTGTTCTCCCTCTGGGAAGAGTCTGCATGAGAGTGATGTTTCTAAGGCAGAAGGCACATCTTTTATTTATTTAATCTGACCGTCATGTGAATAATTCATTCACATTTATGTAAGTAGTTGAACTACAAGAATATGGGGAGGTCAAAACATTGACTCCTCTGTGCCCCAAATCAAAGCGAGAGTTCAGTCCCCCGCCCCAGCCCCCTACATGAAGTGTGCAGGTGTGCAGGTATGCTTCTCCTGAAAGTTGGATCCCTTGTGTTCCTCCTGGACCAGGCAGGCTGGGGTCAGAGCCTTCCACCTCTGAGAGGTCGTGAGAGCTTGAGGAAGCCATTCTCCTCACCAGCCCCATGTTCTGCCCATCACAGACAACAGAAGACCTGCCTTCTGTGCCAGGCACGGTGTGGGAAATGGCTTCCCTGGGTGCCTGGCACTTGGCTCATAGCAGGTGCCCAGTAAGCATGGTGGCAGGTGAGCTCTGGCGGCCAACATGCCTCACCACTCCCCCTGCTCACCGCCTTGCTTGCCTGGGATCCTCACACTGACCAGCACAGGTCTGGCCTCATCAGCTAAGCTCTCTGCTCATGGGAATCTGAACTGCATAATAATCGGCATTTCTGTAACTTCTCCAAGGTCAGGCTGAGTTTATTACCAAAATTTAATTTTTCCCAATGGACATCTGAGATCCATTAAGGTAATTCAGTCTGTGATGGTAAAATATCACCTGGGCAGTATGGCCAGAGACTTTCTCTGTAAAGTGGGTTTTCCTCCTGCTTGTAGATCCATCTTAGGTGCGGTGGCTGAGGGACACGGAAGAGCTTTGGGGTCAGAGCCTCCGACTACCCTTTTGATTTCATAGTCTGATTACTCGATTAATCAAGGTCTCCAAGCCTGCGTCCTGATGGAGAGACTCTCAGCTCCAGAATAACAATGTCCTCCGGGGCCTTAAAGCTAGTGATTAATGGGGGGCAGGCGAGGGCAAGACGTTTGCCAAGTGCATGGACAGTGGAGAGCCTGGAGAGCTGAGCCCTAGATTAGGATGCCTTATTCAGAACCAGGACATAGCCCCATCAAGCTGTCTGCAGAGCTGCAGGCTGCGTAGACAAGACAGAGGATGCAAGCAGACGCTGGCTTGTTCCAGAGCATGTGAGACGGGGATGTTGTTGAGAGTTTGGTCCTTGCATTGGATAGTCCTGCTTCTGCTACTTATGTATGGCCAAACAGTGCTCTCTCAGGGCCTCATGTCCCCTGGTCTCCACTGGCCTTCTCCCCTGGAATACAGGCTCCCATGTGTCCTGACCCCCTCCTCCCCCAGGAGAGACACTATCTTGCATCTTCAGCTGGCCCCTGCAGTGCACATACTCATACTAACCAAGGACTGCACCCGCCTTTCCTGCTCCTGTCCTTGTGTCTGTCCGCAAGAACTTGGCCTGAAAGCCTTTTTTCCCACACTCCTCCCCTGGGGAGCACCTTTGGGTGCCTATTGAATGTGACCCTGTGGTTTTCATTCTAGTCTCTAATTCAGGCCAGCCTTGCCTGATTCCTGTGTGTAGCTTGAGGAGCTGGAACTATTGTCTCTGACATAGTTGGGGCTCCTGGGGTTCATAGCCCACAGGAGAGCAGGGTTCATACCCCAGCTGACCAGCGCTGAGGCCTGGGTATTCTCCACAATCCCCCTTGTTCAGCTGAGCTCCTGTCCCACCCAGGACAGCCCCAGACCCTAGAGGGTGTCCCATGGTCTGCTTCAGACAGACCGGCCAAGTAGTGCCTGCCCTGGGAGACAACCCCATGCACCTTTAGTGGAGCCAGTCTTGCAGATTAGTGGGGGATAATCGAGGTCTAATTACTCAGAAGGCACCTTGGGTGAAGGATTCATGGTAATTGCTATTTCCTCCTGATAGCCGCACGCAGCCGGTTTCTCCTGGTGCTTTGTAAACTAGAAGTGGTATGTCTCCAGGGGGCCAGCAGAGGAACCCCTAAGACATTGTGATGTGATGTGATATGATATGATATGATATGATATGATATGATATGATGTCAGTGCCCCCCCCCAGAACATTCTTGCCTGAACGCTGCTGATGAGCAAGGCAGTGAACAAATGCCCTCCATCACCAGCCCACCCTCATGACTGTCACTGTTGCCTGACATCCTTCTGCCTCGAGAGCCTACTTGTGAGGTATAAAATTTGGAGCCCAGAGCCGGGGCTCTCTGTTCAATGTCTGTTCAATATCTTCTTTGAGTCACTTTTCTGTGGAGTTCCTACTTTTAATGTAATAGTGTCACCATTAGTACCACCCAAAGGTCAGGCTGCTTACAGCTTGTTCTTTTCCTTTGGTAACGGGGAGCATAACCCAGTTGGTGTAGTGCAGCCTTCCCGTCCCCAGCAGCTGTCACCTTAGGGCCTGGTCCGCCCCACCCTGCAACCTGCTTTTCTGTATGCTGCCCCTTCCTTAGGCTTCTGGCCCCAGAGCTGCCCCTTCATCTCTAGCCAGGCTGGCAATTTCACCTCCTCTTTTTCCTCCTCCCTCAGAGCTGAAGAAGCAAGTGGAAAGCGCTGAACTGAAAAACCAGCGACTTAAGGAGGTCTTCCAGACCAAGATCCAGGAGTTCCGCAAGGTCTGCTACACACTCACGGGCTACCAGATCGATATCACCACAGAGAGCCAGTACCGGCTCACCTCCATGTACGCCGAGCGCAAGAATGACTGTCTCATCTTCAAGGTAGGATCCTGCCCTCTCTCTGGTCAGGGAGGAAGTCAAGCCCTTCCCTCCTGATGAAGGCACACATTTCAGAAGTTGACTGCTGACCCTTGGCCACCTCCAGCTTCTCCCTGCAGCTGGGGTCTCATGCTGGGTGTTCGGTCCCCATGTCTTCGTGTCTTGACTTCTAGATGTCAACATTCCTGGAATGGGTGGAGGTGGCTGATGATATACAGTGTGTGCAGTGCCCCCAAGAGGGATGAAGTCTTTGGATGAAATCATTGAAATCATTGTTAGGCCAGGGGGCTGCCTCAGTGTGCAGTTAGACCATGGCCAGAGGGATGGTCAGTGTGACACTGGGCACATGGGGTGAGGAGAAAAGCCCTGGCTCTCAGGTACACCAGGAGCAATGGCGTGAATGCCCTTCAAGTTTACAGGAGAGGTCAGGCTGAACCACAGATAGACAGGAGGGTGTGACACCTGTGGGGGTGAGGTGGGCTCCCCAAGCAGAACCCTCTGAGTTGGAAGCAGCTCAACCTGGTGGAATTGTACATTGAGTCAAGGCCTACGGTGGCTTCCAGGCTTCTGGGCTAGGACAGTCATGCGGTGAGCTGGGCTCCAGAGCAGAACTGGATTTTTAGTGTCAGGCAGGAGGGTAAGGGGGAGGCTGTCCCACTGGATGTCACATGAGATCAGGGTGAAGAGACACTTGGCACCGCCATGGGGTGGCTGCTTCAGGATGGTGCAGGATCCTGAGGGTGCTCATCTGGCTCTGGTGCCAACTGTCCGGGCATCAACCTACCTTCTCCAGCCCGTGTCTCTCCATCTTGAGTCAGAGCTGCGTCTCAGCTGGGGGACCGCACACACCTAAAGATCACAGCATTTCTTTTTGATTACTTGGTCTTCTTAGGTCATGTTCATCCATTCTTACACTTTGTGAAACTCTTAAACTTTCAAATGAGTAATATATTCATACATTCAAAGGCTCTAAAGTAAATAAACTGCCAGAAATATACTTCTTCACTTTAGATAATTCTGTATCATCTTGAATAATTCAGGGTTACTTGTGGGTGTTAATTTAACACGTTGCAGAAATCCCATGTTTTTTTTTTTCTTGCCAAGATTACGTAAATAAGCAGAATGTACAGTTTTTATGAATGGTCACTGTTTAACATATTGCTCCTCATAGCCAACGTTATAAGTTATGAGAAGAGTTTTTTCTGGAAGTAATTAATCTTATTCAAAGGATAACATTCCAAAGTATTTAATATCTATAGATAGTTGAAAGTAGAGAATATCCGAAAGTAGAACACAACTCACTCATAATCCCACCACCAAGAGCCCACCACTGCTGCCTTTGCGATGTGTTTCCCACCATGTCTCGCTCATGAAGGTATGGTTGCGGGTATGTTCAGTGTCCAAAACCAGGACCGTGGGTTCCACTCTATATGCTATTGCATGTCTTTTTAAAATGATGTCTGCAGGGGCCTTGTTGCTGTCTTTCTTTACCCATGATGCACTCTGTCCATCCAGCTGTGTGTCCTTTTCTGCCTACAAGTCTCAGATCAGCTGGACTCTTAGTCCTTTCCCCACACAGGGACCTTGGCACTGCTACTTCCAACACCTTAATCTCTGGCCCTAACCATACAGTAGCCTCCTGGCTTCTTAACTGACCTTGGCTCGGGCATGGCAGGATGTTGTTGAACAGACTGGGGTGCCACCCCAGTGTGGCCCTCTAGTACCCCAAGCTTAGCAGGAATACCTGCTTATCACTCCACCTTTGAGTCTTTGTGCCCACCTCCACCCCCTGCCTCCAAAAGAGAAGAGAGTCCCTGGGATGGGGAGCGAAGGGGCAGAGCTGACCCCCTCAGAGAAGTGGCTCACACAGCAGGGCGCTAGGTGACGCAAAGTGTGCTCCTGGCCCCACACTCTGATGTGCAATGCAGAGTGGTGCGTTGCACCCCAGGCTGCATTTTCACCCCTCAGGCCTCACTGGGTTATAGGGGTCATTAAATGAGGCCATGAAGAACTGCCAATTTGGAGGCAGGACCAAAAGCTCCTACCTGGACCTGGTAAAGGCAGCCAGTGGTGGGCCTGGGTGTCTCATTGCCCCAGGACCAGGAGCCATGGTGATGCCAAGGAAAGGCATAAAACTTAGAGTTGAAGTATGAGGATCAGTGCCCTCGCGCTGCCCTTCCCCTCAGTCTCTTCATCTGTGAGTTAGGGTAGCAGGAGCTCAAGTCTGTACAGTACCCACCGCAATGCCTGACACTTGGGGCATGCCCCAAGTGCGTCCATGCTGAGTTTTGGGATCTTCTGGGCTTTTGTTTGTGAGAAGTGAACCCTCAGCAGACAGAAGCAGCTCATCTATACCCATATTTGTCCCATGGGATCCCCATTTCTGTCTCCCCTGACTTGAGTCGCTCTGTACATCCTACAGTTGGGCCCTGGTGAGTTTGTACCAGCCCAACAGCAAGGCACAGATCTGGTCCCACACACCTTCTCCAGGAAGATGTCCTATGTGCCCAAGTGATGGGACCCCATCTTCCATTAAAACCCCTCTCAGGGACACCAATATCCTAAATGTATGGGATGCAGCAAAAGCAGTAATAAGAGGAAAATATATAGCAATAGAAGCTCACATCAAGAAACAAGAAAGAACTCAAAGAAACAACCTAATCTCGAAGCTCAAAGATCTAAAAAAAGAACAACAAAAAAACCCCAAAACCAGTAGAAGAAAAGAAATAATAAAAACAAAAGCAGAAATAAATGAAATTGAAACTAAAAAAACAATCCAAAAGATCAATGAAACCAAGAGCTGGTTCTTTGAAAAAATCAATAAAATAGACAAACCCCTAGCCAGGCTCACAAAGGAAAAAAGGGAGAAAGCACAAATACACAGAATCATAAATGAAAGAGGAGAAATCACAACGGACACAGCAGAAATCAAAAGAATAATCAGTAACTACTATGAACAGTTATATGGAAACAAGTTTAACAATCTAGAGGAGATGGACAAATTCCTACAACTCTACAATCACCCAAAGCTAGATAAAGAAGAAATAGAACACCTAAACAGACCAATTACAAGCAGCGAAATTGAAATGGTAATCAAAAACCTCCCCAAAAACAAAAGCCCAGGACCTGATGGATTTACAAATGAATTCTACCAAACATTCAGAGACGAATTAGTGCCTATCCTTCACAAACTCTTCCAAAAAATTGAGAAGGAAGGGACAATACCAAACACGTTCTATGAAGCCAACATTACACTAATACCAAAACCAAACAAGGACAACACAAAAAAGGAAAACTACAGGCCAATCTCCCTAATGAACACTGATGCAAAAATCCTCAATAAAATTTTAGCTATCAGAATCCAACAATGCATCCATAAGATAATTCACCACGACCAAGTAGGATTCATTCCAGGGACACAAGGATGGTTTAACATCCGAAAATCAATCAACGTTATCCAACACATCAACAAAAAGAAATATAAAAACCATATGATAATATCAATAGATGCTGAGAAAGCTTTCGACAAAGTGCAACACCCATTCATGATAAAAGCCCTTGAAATTCTTGGGATACAAGGAACATACCTCAACATCATAAAGGCCATCTATGACAAGCCAACAGCCAGTATCATTATCAATGGTGAAAAGCTGAAAGCAATTCCATTAAGATCTGGAACAAGACAAGGATGTCCACTCTCACCACTGCTTTTCAATATAATACTGGAAGTCCTAGCCAGAGCAATAAGACAAGAGAAAGACATCCAAGGAATCCAAATAGGAAAAGAAGAAGTCAAACTATCACTATTTGCAGATGATATGATAATATACATAGAGAACCCCAAAAAGTCCACAGAAAAACTAATTCAACTAATCAATCAGTTCAGTAAAGTGGCAGGATACAAAATCAACACGCAAAAGTCAGTAGCCTTCCTATACACAAACAATAAATCTGAAGAAGAAGAAATCAAAAAAACCATCCCTTTTTTTATTGAAACAAAAAAAATCAAATATTTGGGAATAAATCTAACAAAAGAGGTAAAGGACCTATACAAAGAAAACTATAAAACACTGTTAAAAGAAATAGAAGAAGACACAAAGAAATGGAAAGACATCCCCTGCTCATGGATTGGAAGAATAAACATTATTAAAATGGCCATCCTTCCAAAAGCAATATACAGATTCAATGCTATTCCAATCAAAATTTCAATGTCATTCTTCAAAGAAATAGAACAATTATTGATGAAATTCATATGGAATCACAAAAAACCCCGAATAGCCAAAGCTGTCCTGAAAAAAAAAGAAGGGAATGGAGGCATCACACTCCCAGACTTCAAACTCTACTACAAAGCCATAATCATCAAAACTGCATGGTATTGGAACAAGAACAGACATACAGACCAATGGAATCGAATAGAAAATCCAGAAATAAACCCACAGATTTATGGTCAACTAATCTTTGACAAAGGAGCAAAGACTATGCATTGGAGCAAAGAAAGTTTGTTCAATAAATGGTGCTGGGAAAACTGGGTCGCTACATGCAAAAGAATGAAGCTTGACCACTACCTCACACCATACACAAAAATCAACTCAAAATGGATTAAAGAACTAGCCATAAGACCTGAAACCATAAAATATATAGAAGGAAATATAGGCGAAACACTACGTGATTTGCACATCAAAGACATCTTTACAGACACATCACCCAAAGCAGTGATAGTGAAGGCGAAGATAAACAGCTGGGACTACATCAAATTAAAGAGCTTCTGCACAGCAAAAGAGACAATAACAAAAACAAAGAGAAACCCCACTGACTGGGAGAACATTTTTGCACCCAACCCTAATGATAAAGGACTGATCACAAAAATCTGCAAAGAGCTGATGAGACTTAACAACAACAAAGAAAAGAATCCAGTCAAAAAATGGGCAGAAGAGCTAAAAAGAAACTTCTCTGAAGAGGAAATGCAAATGGCCAACAGGCATATGAAAAAATGTTCAACATCA